CACAGCAGGCTATGCAACAGTAAAAAAAAAAAAATTTACTCTTTATCACCACGTGGCACAAATCATTTTTTACTTTTTATTTTTATTTTTAATTTTTACTCCATTATTATTATTGAAAATAATTAATTATAAATATAAAAAAAACTAAAAAATTAAATATTACTGTATAGTCTATATAGATTTTCCTCCGATATTTCTCTCTCATAATAATAATAATAATAAGAAAGATGGCGGAATGTAATAAAAGAATATGGCGAGTGTGCAACGGTTGACATGTTTTTACGTCATGTCGACTTATTTAATTAATTTTAATAGTTTTATTTATTAGTTAAGTTATAAGTTATATATATCAAAAGTTTTGTAATTGAATCTAGTTTATTGTGTGTTATAATTATTTTTTTAAAATATTATTTAGTAATAATTATATTATTTTAAGTTTGAATAAATAAATAGTCAACGGTTTTATGTGTCAAAAGAAAACGTAGGCAATAAAAACTTAAGAAAATTCTATCTAATAACGAATAATATATTATATCTAATTATAACGAATAAGTACCTCATTTTAAGACTTGAATTTCACTTGGAAAAACGTTAGGCTAACAAAAAAATGGAGCCAAATACCCTAAAATTTTACATTTATTTGTATTTTTATAAGGAGTTTAACTAAATATCGTTTTCCTTCTCATCATAATAAACAAGAGTTGAAGTAATTTAATAATAATATTTATTAATTATTGATTTGATATATTGATTTAAAGTAAAATTTCAATACTCTTATCTTTAAGGGTTAATTCACTGATTGTTGATTGTTTTAAGCCTTTTGTTAAGTTAGCTTGTTTCATTATAACATAGTGTATCAAGAGATAGTGTAATACTCCCTATAAATCAATCAAAATCAGGAGGAATTGGTAGCCTATACAATAACTGATTTTAGTGTACTGAATTGTGATATGCATAATAGACTCCATTTAATAATTTTGCATCTCTTGAGCTGATTATGAATAAATAGTTGAGTTAAATATCTTGTCACTCTAAATAGAAAAAAGAGACAGTTTAATGAAAATACTTTTAGTTAATTAATTTATTGCATCAGGTGGATATAAAATCTCCGTACTCCTGATTTTAAGTGTGAATCCTCTAATTTTACGTTATTTTACTCCATTTTCTTATGTTAGCCTCTTTCATTACAACATATTTTGCCATTTGTTTAGCGTAAAATTTTTCCTAATTTGACGCTATAGAAAAAAATTTTTTTTTTTAAAATATATATTTTCTTTCTGTTTTCGATTGACAAAAAAAAGAAAAGAAAGTATGGAAGAGCGCATTCAATTAAAAAAAAAAAACAATGTCGACCGTTAAAAAGAAGGGGAAAAGAAGAAGAATAAAAAATTTTTTTTTCTTGTATTGTTTTCTTTAATTCTTAACCGAACTCTATAATTGAAATATAGAAAAATTAGTTTTCTTTTCTTTTTCCTTTTTTTTTTTTCTTTTCCATTGAGCTAAAGTATAAAAAAAACGATAATAATAATAATAATAATAATAATAGAACAATAAAAAAAAAGAAAAGAAAAGGTCGAATGATTTCATCCCCATCATTATTAGTTAGAAAATTAATAAGGAAAAAAAATAGTAATAATAAAATAAATTACGGGTGGTAATTTGTGTTATTATACGTACGTATACACACATGCACGTCCCCCCTCCCCCACACACAAAAACGTGTTTATTTATTTTTAATTAATTGAACCTTATTAAGGGTATTAAAAAAAAAAAAAATTACGGTCATTATTATCATCATCAAAAGGAAATAATATCGGGGGTGGGGGGGTGAAAACGATTGATTTAGATTTGATTTAATGATTAGTTAGCGAAAAATGAAAATGTAAAATAGTTGTTACGTTGTCGTTTAGTATTCGATAATCGATAAATAAATAAAAATTTTTTTTCCCCAATTTTTAATTGCCTGACTTAAAATAACGAAATTTAAATGTCGTCGTGTGTTTTATATATATATTCCCCCGATAAATATTTTTACTCGGGGGCACAATAACCACCATACAGAAAAGAGAGAGAGAGAGAAAAGGTTTTATTTTATTTTTCCCCATTTATCAGCAAATTAATACTTCATGTGTTAACCACCAAGTCGAACCCCACCAAAGAAGAACAAAAAAAAAAAAAAAAAACTCGTTCTTCCCCTGCTGCTTTTTTCACAAAAAAAAATTAATCATTTCTTTCGTTTAAATGTGACTCCGACGCCATTTCTTTTTTTATTATCATTATTATTATCGTTTATATTTAATTTGAATATAAAAAAAAACTCTTTGATATTGAAATTTGTACCGGAAATAATTATTTGAAGATACACGGTGGTGATAATATTTGATGAGTGATGGTAACGAAAAGGAAAACTACGGAAATTTTTTACGTAGTTGGAAAAAAAAAAATAATAATAATAATAATGTATTCGTCTTTCGTGTTTTTTTTTTATTATATATGAGAGACTATTGTCAAGATCGTATGACCACTTGTATTGACATTACAAAACAAATCCATTTATCAATTTCGTCGGATGGAAGAAGAAAAAAGAAAGAAAGAAACCATTTTTACATTTATTCATTGACTTATTTCCGCCCTAAAATTTTAAAACCTCATCAATCAATCAATCAATCATTTGAAACGTGCGGTTTCTAAGATTTTTATACACACACACTCTCTCTCTCCCTCTCTTTATGAGTTTACTTTATTTTTTTTTTTCTATTGTTTCATGAACATGAAAACATAAAAAAAAAAAAAAAAAAACAATTGATACGAAGATGTCTCATCATCATCCGCCGCCGCCATCTTCGTCATCTACCGCATCATCATCCACATGAATTCTTTTTTTTTTTTTTCTAATGACCCGACGATCGCAACATAAAATCTTGGAACGTAATTATAATCAATAAAAATACCTTTTCAAACGTAGGTAAAAAGAAAAAAAAAAAAAATAATAATAATAATGAATCGTGTAAAAAATTTACTTACATCCCAAAACATTATTGTCCATATCGTCATCTTCGTTTCCTTTATTATCTTCCATTTCATACATTCCATCTTATATAAGCAGCGTGATAAAAGAAATAAAAAAAAAACCAAAAGTAATAAAAATAATTTATTTATGTACTCAAAGGTTTTGAAAAGAGACAGAAAGAAAGAGAGAGAGAGAGAGAGAGAAAATAAACAGAAAAACAAATTTGTTAAGAGCAAAAAAATTTTTTTTAAAATTATTATCAACATCTACACAAATTTTTGAAAATAATAATAAATTTTTCTTTCCCCCCGCTCCCCTCCCTATCGCCCCCCGGCCTGAATGTTCATTATCGCACGTCAAATTCAAAAAAGAAAAAAAAAGGGCAATGACTTTTTATTATCACACGCAAAAAAAAAGTGAAAAGAAAGATAAAAAAAAGAAAGAAAGGTTTTTCCTTGAACTTTTTTTCTAAAATAAAATGGAAAAAAATAGAAAAAAAAAGAAAATTTTTACAAAAGAATTTTTTTTCTTTTTTTTTGACTGATGGCAGCAACAACAACAACAACAGCAAAAGAAATCAGTGACGTTGTTGTTCACGTATAGAAATTTTACAATTGTAAATGGAAAAGTTTTACGAAAAAAAAAAAAAAATTTCCGTTTACTGTCACTGTAACTGGAGGAAATTGTCTTTCAAAATTCTAAAATATTAAAAATGAAAAAAAAAAAAAAAAAAAGGAAAAAAATGGAAAGAAGCAAAAAAAAATTTTTTTTTTTTGCTGAAAATAATAATAATAATAATAATAATTTTTACGTTCGTTCCGACACGGAATCCCCGAGCTCGTTTTTTTTTTTAAAATTTATTTTCGAATTCGATCGTGAGAATTTTTTTTTAACCCTCTCCCTCATTTTTTCTTTTTTTTGTTTAAACTCTGCTGGAAATTTTTTTTTTTTTAAATTAAAATAATTACTCGACAGATCGCAAAAACACCCCTCTTCCATTTTTCTTTTCGTCAAATAAAATTTACCTTGAGACAAAATAAGCAAAAAAAAAAAAAAAAATAGCAAAAGTGACAACAGCAACAACAACAAGAGAAAATGAGTATTGTTGTTATCATTACAAAAAATAAATCTTTAACAACCCTTACGGACAAACAAGCAGTAAAAAAAACAAAAAATTATCGATTAACGCAAAAACGCAAAAAAAAAAAACATTCCCCACAAACAACAAATCCATTTGCTAAAATTTAGAATTTAAGCAAACAACCCCTGTTGATGATATGGTGGTAGTACGTACTGTACAACACACAATGGAAGCAAATTCATTACCGAAAGCAAATGGATTGAAAATTAATTAAAATTAATAGCTCTTGACCATGCGTGAGAGCAAAAAAAAAAAAAAAATTTTTTTCGAAAAATGGAGCGGAAAGAGGGGGGAAAAAATTTATGTAATAACTCTTGGGAGGAAAGGGAAAGGGGGAGGGAGGAAAAAAGCAAAAATTAATTAATCAATTAATTAATTAATTAACGACTCATTGGAAAACAATTTTTTCGTTTTTTTTTAAATAACAACAATTTATACCTTTTTTTTTTGTTTTTAAATTTTACGTTTAAAAATAAAATCGAAACGATGATAAATTAATAATAGAGATACTCATTCAACCGTTTCGTAAAATATCTCGGGTGGGAGAAGGGGCGGGGTGGGGAAAAAAACCGGAAATTGAAAAAATAAAAAAAATTTCCTCTCTTCCCTCCCCCGACCCCTTTTCCACCCCTTGTATTTCTTCCTTTCATTAAACCCGTAAAATACAACTGAAATGATTTACACAAAAAAAACGAAACATAAAAAAAATTTTTAAATCAATTTAAAAAAAAAAAAAAATTTTTTGTTACCGCAAAATACATTATCACGTGAGTCAGCATTAAAACCCCTCCCCCTTCTCTCTTTCTCCAGCGCTCGTTCGTTTAAAATTCCAGATTGTGTGGAAATTTTCTACCGCAACACGTTGAAAATATTACACGAATCTCTCGTTACTTGTTGTTTGGAAAACACTTAATCGAAAATAAAAGGTAAATACGAACGGAAATAAAATTTTTCCTTGTTTACAGTTACAAACGGAGTAAGTTCGAACGAGAGGAGGAAAAACAAAAACAACCCAAGGGTGGGAATTTTTACTCATCACGTAATGATGATTTCAACCGCTCCATTTTTTTCCTGAAGGAGGAGGGAGGGGGAAAAGGAAGAAAAAGTAAAAAAAAAACTCACCTGGACAAGGTATCGAACATTCATCTTTCATAACAGAAAGACCTTGGCACGTTTGACCACCGTTTAACGGTGATGGATTATTGCAAAGACGAGTTTTTTTACGGATTCCTCTTCCGCATCGAACGCTACATTCGCTCCAGCTTTGCCATTGTGACCAACCCCCGTTAACTGGGAAAAAAAAATCAAATCGTTATCATTCATTTTTTTTTTTAATTAAAAATAAAATTACTCGATCGTCCATTTTTTTTTTTAATTACAAACCCTTACGCTAACAAAAATTATTGATATTTTAAATTCTAGAAAATGTCATTTTATTATTATTATTATTACTATCGTCGAAAGCAAATAAAACGAAAAGAAATTTATAATAAAAAACTGGACAAAAAAGAGAAAAGTAGAAAAAAACACGGAAACTTTTCTTTTATTTTTTCTTTTACTTTTTTTTATTCGCCGATTTTAACAACTTACGGAAACAATTAAAAACTCAACTTTTGCGATTTCCACTTCCTTTGATGCATTTCCAAAGGAGGAAAAGGAAAAGAAAGGAAAAAAAAGAAGGAAAAAAGAAGGAAAGAAAGAAAAAAAAATTTTTTTTTAAATGGAAAAATGAATAATGAACCGAGTCAAATAAATTTAAAAGGAAATGAGAAGGAAGATGAAAAGGAAAATCCTTCATTAAATACTTCGGGAGATGTAGAAGAAAAAAAAAGAAAAAAGGAAAATTCTAGAAAAAGAAATTTTTTTTTTTTTCCTTCATAACCGCTAAACAATTTTTGTAATAATAACTTTTTTTTTTCATCGTGCGATATATACACACGATAAATATATATTTTCATTAAACTTTTTTAATATTTTCCTCTTTTTAAAAAAAAAAGATAAAGAAAACATTTTTGAATTAATAAATCTGCTACTACGATTTGTTTTAAAACTTTGATTGTTGCATTTACGGATGAATAATTCTGGATAAGGAAAAAAAAAAACTTTTTCCAGAAAATTGAGACCCTCTAATGTGTAGGCGATTAACTGTCTTTTAATTCTAAAATGAAACCATGGATCACTCTCTATGAATCTTTCCCCATCCTACTTTTTCTCATCTTATTCTTCTTCTTCCTTTTCCTTCTCTATCTCTCTCTCTCTCTCTCAAGTTATAAATAGATTTATAGACGAGGAAAAGAAAAAAAAAATAAGAAAAAATATATATATAAAACGAAGGGCAAAAAGTAAAAAAAAAAAAAAATGGAAGAAAAGAATGAAAAAAAGAAAAAAAAGAAAAGTTTCGAGGTTTGAGGGGTTGAAAAATCGTTAAATGAATGGTCCCACTTCAAAAGGGCGAAAAAAGAAAAATGAAAAACTTACGATGAGAATTAATTTTTTTTTTCGAGTGATTTTCTTTTTTCTTTTTAACTATCATTTTCCCTCCTACGCGGTTTGTTTTAAATTTAACCTTAAAGCTTTTCCCCCCTCCCCCCATAAAAAAAAGAAACGAGATGATTTTACAGAGAGAGAGAAAGAAAGAAAAAAATTACTACAAGACCGATTGAATTTTAACAATTAATAAATAATTTTTACCATATCCGTTTCCTCTTCTTTCTCACCCCTCTTCCCCTCCCACCTCTTTCTCTCTCTCAAAAAAAACATTAAGAAACTTTTTATTATTAAAATTATTATTAAAATATTTTTTTAAAACATTAAACAGACTTTTTTTTTAGTTTTTTTAAAATCAAAAAAAAAATTTCAACCATTTTTATTTCAACCGGAAATAATTTATTTTACCAACTGAAAAGTTGGTTAAAAAAAAAAAAGTTTTCAAATTTAAAATGAATTTTATTTTTTTTTTTACGGGAAAAAAGTGAAACGATAAAAAAATTTAAAGCGAAAGAAAACCTGCAAAAAGGAAAACTTATGAATCGTTTCCTGTTATTTTCTTTTTTCCTTTTTTTCCTTTTTTTAAATATACATAAAAAGGTAAATTTATTTTTTGTTTTTATATTTTTGCTATGATTGATATGCATCGATGATTGCATAAAAGCAAATAAAAAAAAATTAATTAATTAATTGAACTTAGAGGTAATAAAAAATGGCGGAAAGAAAAGCAAAAAAAAAATTACAATATTTAAATAAACAATAACACGACGTCGAGGCAATAGTAAGTGATTTTTAAATTGAAACGTTTATTTTTAATCTCGGTTATTTATCACAAAAATGATAAGAAGGAATTCACACAATTCAATCTTTTACACGCACGCACAAGCCGTACAACAAATCCAAATATGCGAAAATTATTTAATTTTCTCGAAACTTCCAAGAAAATTGTTATATATATATATTTTCTCTCTCTCTCTCAAAAATCACTTGTGCGTAAAGTAAATCTCATGAAGTTTTAAAACGAGAGTTAAGAAGAAGAAGATGTATAGGGTATGAAAAAATAACTACGCGTGGAAAATCAAAATTTTCAAAACATTTTAGTTCGACATACAAAAATCATTGGAAAGATACAGGAAGTGACATTAACTTTCTCATGCAAACCCATTTTGAAGGGTCAAAAAAAAAAAAAAGGGAAAATTGGGGGAAAAGTTGAATCCATCGGTATTAGTTAGCTACATGTGCAGCACAATCACATTCGTTTCCACCCTTAAATTCCAACCTCTTCCTCCTTCTCCTTCTCCTCTTTTGATCCCTTCTACCACCGCCACCCATTTCCCTATTCCTTCTTTCATATCCATTGTATTCACTCACACATGACCTTTAAGGCTGTTACCAACTTGTCACATTTTTTTTTTTTTTTCCACCGACTCGGTATTTTTTTCTACTCGTCTTCTTTTTATAATGATCAACTGTTAAATTTTTTATTCGGGGAAAAAAAAAAAATTCCTACAGGAAAAGGAAGAATTGAAGTAGTAGGGGGCAAGGGGGAGGGAGGGAGGGGGCGGAAAAGGGAACGAAAAGGAAAAACTTTTATAGTTGTTATTTACGGTAATAATTACTTTGTAATCTTATACGTATAAATTCATATTGCCAAAAGCCAAAATTTAATCTTCCTCATTTTTGCCCTCTTCGTACACACCGTTCTCGTTTCCCTTCGACATCATTCATTCACTCATTCATTCATTCCCTTTCCTACCCTTTCATCCACAATTTCTAGTTTTCTCTCTTTTTCTCTCTTATCCATTATCACGATAATACGTTTTTGTAATTCAACACGGGGGAAAATATCTGTTAATGATCGATATTTATTTATTTATTTTTTTTCAAATTCCCAAAGAAATTCGAAACTATTATTATTATTTCATATATCGTGATACAATAATAATAATAATAATTTGTGATTTCTCATGGAGGATTCTAGGCAATAAGTTTTCCTCGTGAACGCTTCGTCTGCTGCTTCATTGTTTGTTAAAACTCTTCAAATTCATGATGCTGAAAAGGTAAATGACGCTTTTTATATAAAGTATTTCGTATCAGTGATTTTGTTTCGACAAACCATTTTATGAAAAATTTTCTATTTTTCCCCTATACCCTTCCCCTTTTTAGTCGTGGCAGCAGAAAATATTATTTCTATGAATGCCTTTTTTTTTTTTTTTACCTCCGACCAAACAGAAAAAAAAATCAATTAATTTCTTTTAATTTTTTTTTTTTTATTTCGTAAACCCCCCCCCCCCATAAAAAAAAACAAAAAATTTCAAATTTCTCGGGGCGGTTCCTTTAAAAAAAAAAAAAAAAAAAAGATTTTGGCTTAGGTAGGAAATTAAAAAAAGGAAAAATAAAAGGAAAAAAAGGAAAAAAAAGGAAAAAAAAATTCAATCGAAACCACATTTTTCATGTTTACCTAACATTTTATACTTTTTATTACCTTTTCCGCTTTTTTTTTTTTGTTATTATACGCGAATAAAATAAAAAATTTAAAAAAAAAAATATGCTTTGATTATAAGCCAAACGTTAAACAAACAACCTTTTAATAAAATGTTTACAAAAAAAAAAAATTAATAAATAAAAGAGAAAAAGTGAGAAGAGATGAAAATAAAAAAAATTAAAATAATAATAATAAGTAAATTTGTTTTTTTTTAAAATATATTTTCTACCCATTTAAAAAATAAATAAATATATTTTTTGGAATGTAGTCAAAATTGTAAAAAAAAAAGAAAAGATTTTTCCTTTTGTGAGTTTTCTTTAAAAAAAGAAAAAGAAAAACGTTTTAAATGAAGATGCTGCGGTGGTCCAAACACCCTAAGGATGAAAAAAAGAAATCATAACAATAAAAGCTTGAATTATATATTTTTTTTTCTAAAAAAAAAAAAAAAAAGAAAAAGAAACGTTAACAATGAAATTTCATATCATAAGAGGAGGAAAAAAAAAGAATAAAAGGAAAGATGACGAAGAAGAAAAAATAAGGGAAAAATGGAAAGATGGGAAGAAAAAGAAAGAAAGAGGAAGAGAAATCTTAAGAAAATGTTAAAATTTTGTAAAAGACCTCAGACAATCAATTTTCTAAAAATGACAAGATGAGAAAAGGTCGAGGATAAAACAATGATTAGCTTACGAATAATTCAATGAAACGGTTCATGCACGGTTTCTCAATTGAAATATGTACAGAGTTGACATTTTCCGTTTCTTAAAATGCAAGGATGAGGAGGATGAGGAGAAGGGGAAGGGGGAGGAGGGTAAAAGAATAATTCACAAAAGGAAGAATGGGAGTAAAAGTTGGCAATAGGGAGACCCGACAGAAAGAAAGAAAAAAAAACGAGAGGAGGAGAGGGAAAATGGGGGGTTAGAAACGAATGATAGCGTAGGGGTCTGAATCGGAAATGTCTGCGAACATTTTCGCTAGGGAAAACTAATACAAAAACATTCTTAATATTTTACAACCAATGACAAAACAAAAATAATAATAATAAATAAAAAACCGTAAAAATTTATTTATTTAATTCGTACAACAACAACAAACAAGGAATCCTTACGACGACCGAAAAAAAACAAGAAAAACTAAAAATAATTTTTTTCCTTCTTCTTTTTCTTTTTCCACGTCTGTTTTTTTTTAAAAACCATCTTGTCCATTTTTACGCTTAAGGTATTAAAAAAAAAAAAAAGAAAAGAAATCAGATCAATTCGTGGTTTTTTTTTTTAACTTTTAATAAAAGTCAATATTGACAGAATTCGAATTGGCAGCCGATTTTTTTCTTTTTTTCTTTCTTTTCTTCTTTCTTTTTTTTTTCTTTTATAAACACAAAACACAAAAGGAAAGAAAGAAAGAAAGAAAGAAAGAAAAGAAAAAAAAGAAAGAAAAAAATAAATAAATAAACATCAACTCAAATGAAAGAGAAAATTAAACCGGAAATTTTTTTTTTGCTTTCTCTCTTTTATCCGCCATCCATTTCATATAAATTTTTACCTAAGGCACATTCCGAACGTAAACAAATAAATTTCATAGAATAATAAAAAAATCGAGCGTATAGACTAATAAATACATAATTTATTTCGTTACATAAAAAAAAAAAAACGGTTAAATATGAAAATTTACGCG